GAAAAACCCACAATATCTGCTTTGAACTGGGTTATTTGAGTCCGCACAGCCATATAATCCAGTTCAAAGCATATAATGTGGGATTTTATTCAGCTGTGTAGAAGGGGCCTAAGTCTTTAAAAAATCAATATAGAAAATAAAGAGATAGCTTAATTCCCCCCCCCCCCCCCCAAAGTGGATTATTCCCTACAGCATCTGCTTGGTTCTTTTTCCAAATCCCATGTACCCAGGTATTATGTTACCTGCAATAAAAATCTTCATTTTACAGCTTATATCTTGAACCTTACCAAACATTTAAACCACATCTTCTGTTGCTCCTGTTGCTACAAACCATTATGTTTAAAACCATGCATTTATGCTGGTGTTCTGCAAATATTTAGAGTTTTAAACATAATGGTTTGTAGCACAGAAGCAATAAAAGACCTGGTGAAAATGCTTGAAGCCACCAGATGCCACCAGTGATAGTTACACGTGGTTTTTGTTGTCCTTGTTGCGTCATTGTATTTTGCAGAAAGCCTTGTTTATGCTTTCCCTCAAAGTGAGTCAGCATAAGTAGGAGAACACGCCATAGCATGGGAATCATGTTACAAAGTAGACACACACATTTTGTAAAGTACCAAGTGGGCCTCCCTAAAGAAGCCATGTCAATTGTTGGAAAGCATGCAACATCTCCTTTATGTCACTTAGCTTAGATGTATAACTCCATCTAAACATTTTTATATCATGACCAATAATAGAGGGTAACAGCTTTTGGTCTTGTAGAAACCTAACAATTGTGAGAATCTGAGAAGTTGTGAAACACAACATCTCCTAGACGTTTATATAGACTGTGCTGTATATATGTGCCATACAATTGCACATATATACAGCACAGTCTATACAAATTATGCACAATTAGTTTTCTTATTGAGTAAAGAGGAAAAGATAAAAATAAACTGACTTGTTGTTTAATAGATACAAAATCTCTTCAATCGATTTTTTAAGCAAAGTTGCCATTTTAGTCTTTTCTTGTTCAAGTAGGGATGCAAAAATGCTATCTACTACAATAACAAAAAATGCCCTCTTATCCAGTTTGAAAATATTTTAAATTGTAATAAATGCTGACTTGTAAATGATTATACTCAACCAATCCCATTTTATTCCATGTCATCCTTAGATCTGGCTTATAGGGAATCCCTGGATGAATGAGATTGGAAATAATCAAAGCTTCAAGCTGGGATGAATGGATGAGGGAGGGAACCGTGATCATTTAATGGAGAAGGTTTCAGGGTCACTAATAACAATAATAGGTCTGTTTCTCAAGTCTGATATGAGGACCCATGAGCATCGATAACAATGTTATTGCCATCCCAGCATTGGGAAACAGTTGTAGATTGTTGCAAAAATAAATCTGCTGTGTAAGAGCGCCCATCATATTTTGCTGCCTGGATCAATTTTATGAGAAGCCTATTGTGGTGAACAGATCGTGAATTTTCAGCTTTGAGGTCAACTTCCTTCTAATTTTCTTTGAGCATTTTCACAAGTTCAAGTGTCATTGATGAATGGGCATTTTGTGTGTGGAGGGGTGGTAAGCACCTTTGAATGCACGAAAGGGAACTAGGCATGGGGAGAAAGGGCAAAGGAAAAAAAGAAAATGGCATTTGATTTGAAGGCTGTATGCATGCCATTTGAGGAATGTCAGGAACCCACCACACAATGTGCATGGGGCCATATTGTGTTGTAGAAAGCCCTACTGAGTGCCAAAACAGTGAAAATACATTTTATATTCAGAAAGCTATGAATCTTGACTTTGTCCTACTGCGTCAGATGGGCTTTATCTTAGTAAATGCATTTGGGATTGCAACTTTCATAATCCTTGGTATTGGTCCCTTACCTCTCTTCTCAAATTCCAGTATACTGCTAATTTAAAAGTACATGGTCTTACTGAAACACAAGGATATACCGCACATATTCTCACAGCAGTGTATATTCAATTCCTCACAAAAGACTCAAGTGATACAGTCAACGTGACATGGTCATTCCTTCTTCAGCTAAGTCTGTAGTCCCACATATCCATGTTTATGGAGTATGTCACATTCTGATTGGTAGGACTGATTTCCAAATAAACATGCACGGACATGGTATTGCATGGTAGCAGACCCCATAATTATTTTGGGACTTAAATATACAAGAAGTATTTTTAGTACAATTGTGTGAGAGGTGTATTTCAGTGCAATGTCTACATCCCTGCGCAGCATAAAGAAGGGCATGGTCCAAAATGGTTGGGGGAAAAAAATCAAAGATAGCCTCCTTTGTGGTGCCACCAGACCATAATAGCACCTTTCTGAATAACATTCCGTCAATGTGTTATAGGCTAATTGCCATTTGTGCAATTCGGCCCGAACTGCAACAATAGAAATGGCTCCTTTAGAAGACAGAGATCTTCAAATCTCTTACTTGACATTTCATAATATCAAATACAGGCATCTGGACTATATATTGAAGGAAGTTATTAAACCGGGATACTTACAAATTCATACTTAATTGGTCTTCATAGATTTCAAATTGGCCAATGAGGGGAAAAAACTGGCCAATAAAGGCAACTAACTGAATCCTTCTTTCTAAACAGACCGTATATGTATGTATTTGAATTCAAGATAGTCCTCAAAACACGTCTGCATTTCTGCACAGAAACAATGCACCAATTTTTTTGAGATTTTAAGACCAAACTATGAGTTGCTTTTTGTCAAATAGCTACCACTTGTTTCAGCATGTCACATATAAGTCAGTCCTGATGGGATTTTGACTTGGTTGTCTTCAAGGGAGTGGCCTCTTGCCTCTACTCAATAGTAGGTTTGGAAACTACATCATGAGGATGAAGGAGTCTCCCTTTAGCTGACATCACACTGCAGTCTGGCCCAGAGAAGTGTTCTCATTCATTTAGTAGAGACGCATTGGAAGAACCGTGGGCAGGATCTCAACTCTAGATTACGGTTCAATTTTATATAGTTGTTTTTTTTTATTCTTGGGATCGGTCATTTCCCCTGAAGAAATGTGGGGTGGGCTTGGCAGTTGTGTACTACATTAGTGGATAAATCCCCTTGAGTTTACCACCTGTGTGCCTTAATCCTTGTTAACTCAGTCTAAAAGCCCCTCTTCCTTCATGGCCTTCTGGCAAACTAAGGATTGGGTCCTTTCTAAGTCAAGGCAGCAATATCATTTCAAAGAAGAGCAAATGGTGGGGCTCAAATTGATCTTAATGGCTTTATCTATGCTGTGGGTCAGGTCTTAGACTGTGTGTCATCCTTCAAACACAGGCAACAGGTTGCAGGTGCTGAAAACAACACTTTAAAGCAGGTATGGGCAAACTTGAGCCGTCTGGGTGTTTTGGACTTCAACTCCCACTATTCCTAACAGCCTCAGGCCCTTTCCTTTCCCCCCTCAGCCGCTTAAGTAGCTGAGGGGGGAAAGGGAAGGGTCTGAGGCTGTTAGGAATAGTGGGAGTTGAAGTCCAAAACACCCAGACGGCCCAAGTTTGCCCATACCTGCTTTAAGGCCTTTATGGAATACTTTGGAAGGGTGTGGGGGCATGATCATTTTGATATTGGGTCTCTCCTCCCCCTCTAACTGTATTCTAGTTTTATTTTCCCTTGAACTAGGAAAATTAAGAAGAGTAAACTTCTCTCTCCCCCCCCCCCCCTTTTATTCTTATTACCTTTTTATGGTAAGCGGACCACCAGGGCTGGGGCATAGCAGAGAGACAAAGGAACAACCCTGACCTAATCTCCCAGAGACACAACAAATAGGCTTTAAGAAAGGGCCAGAACTAGGAGATATCCTGCCATAAATGACAAGAGGCTGAGGGGACTGGATCCTGCAAGGACGGTCACCTTATAAGTCAGTTCTGTTCCTGGGGAGCAAGAAAGGATACAGAAGATTCTGGTCCTTGATAGACGATAGCTGATTGTTTTCCTAAGGCGGTGGAACAATGGAACTTGGCTGTCTCCCTCGTGCCACAGATGCCATCTTTCTTTCTACTTTGTCTTAAAGGGAGCAGCTTGTAATGGAACACCCACATATTCTCAAAAAGACTTGAGACCCAGGTGGTCCTCCAAGTCAGATGTTTACTTCTGAGGCCATCTCAGGCATGGGCAAACTGTATATATTTTATTGCGTATATTTTAACTCTGTTTGACTGGGCTTAGTCCCCATATAAGCCACCTGAGTCCCTTTGGGGAGATGGTGGCGTGATACAAAAATAACATTATTATTATAATATTATATCTGCAGCCCTCTTGGTGTTTTGGACTTCCCACAATTCCTAACACCCTCAGGCCCCTTCCTTTTTGCTTAAGCAGCTGAGGGGGGAAAGGAAAGGGCCTGAGGCTGTTAGGAATTGTGGGAGTGGAAGTCCAAAACTGTAGAAGTGGAAGTCATGCCTGGGTCATCTACACTGACCTTTTAATGCAGTTTCAAATTGGTATTGAAGAACACCAATTGCATGGGAAATCCCTAAACCTGTTTGAGGCCTGGGTGGGGATAACACAGACCACAGACCACAAACCACAGGCCACTGATGCACCTGAAGGGCCATCTTTCATATGCTTATGAGGGAGTTTGTTGTCTGCCTGTCGCAGTTTGAAGCTGGCTTTGAGCTGTATTAAATACATAGACATTAAATGCATAGACGGGCCTGGGCTGGGCCTTCTCCCAACCCAGACGCACCTAGCTCCTGTCGCCCATTTCTGACTCTCTCCTTCCCTCCTTGCCGGCCTCAAACTCGACCAGAGGAGGCTGTGGCGAGGAAGGAGCCCCGGAATGGCCCACGTCGCGACCCTGGGAGGTTTCCCTCTCTGCCCCAGGGACGAGGGCACTCTTGAGCCTGGCTCCGCGGCGTCTTGCTGTGCCTGGCTCCAAGGCGCGGGTGACCTTTGTCGTGAAGGCGGCTGGCGTGGGCGCCCCCCTTCCCCAAGGTCCCCGTGCGTGTGCTTCCCTCGGGTGCGTGGGCGAGGGTTTCTCACCTGGCGAGTCCTGGCTGCTCCTCTCCCTTCAAACAGCCTCCTCCTCCTCAGTCTCGGCGCAAGGCCTCTCCTTCAATCTCCCTCCTGCGGGTCACCTGCAAAGAAGCACAAAGGCAGGCCCAGTGAGCAAAGCCGTCGAGGCAAGGTGGACTTCTCCTCCCCCCAAAACACTCCCAAGACATCGGGGCAGGAGAAGGTGGGTTGCTTTTAGTGGGGGACTTGGAAGGCTGCCTCCCAAGAAAGGTCTTTGGTTGGGAAAGGCAAACTTCTTGGGAGGGAGACACGTCGTGGGGGAAAAATGGTAAGAAGGAAGGAGCAGTGGTGCGAGTGGAGAGACAAGGACGTGGCCTTGCTTTACATAAAAGCCCCCTTTCCCTTTGGACATCGTCCCCCCACCCTTTCATATCAAGCAACATTTCTATTTTCCGACGGGCGCTGGGCTTGGCTTTTCCACCTCGCGTGTCTCGACTTTGTGGGGATCGTTCCCAGCTCGGCTTGCGAAACCCCCAGATGGAGAAGATTGGGAGACATATGAATCATAATGTTTTGTTGGGGAGGGAGAGGCAGTGTGGTGCCCTGTGGTCCCAGCTTCCCTGGATGGGCAACAAGAAGGAGGCGAAGCGGGCAGGGCTGCGACAGGCTAGGCCTCCCCCCTTCTCCCCTGCTAGGCAGGCAAGAGAAAAGCACCAGCATCCCCTATGACGCACCCCCAGCTTTCCCGCAGCCTTTGCCTGCAAGGACGTGAGGGTTTTTGTCGTCGGGAGGAGAGGAGGGGGGAAAGAGGGAGGATGAGGCCTTGCTGGCGCTGCAGACGTGTCCTCCCAAGGAGCGGAGCGGCCCTCCACAAAGGAGATCACGACTTTTAGTGGGAGAGGCGCCTCTCTCCCCAGCCCAGCCCCGCTCCCTCTCCCTCTTCCAGCCTCGAAACCATTCCTAGGGAGAGGAAGACGCCCAAATCGACGGGATCTGGAAAGGGAGAAGCCTGACTGGCCCTTTTGCCCTTCACGTCGAGCGAGATGGGCGAAAGGCAAGCAGAGGCATCCCGATTCCCGACAGGAGCCAGGATTGGGAGAAAGGGAGGGAGGGTTCTTCCTTCCCCTCTTGCCCTTTTCACCTGCCTTGGAGATTCCCGCAAGAGGAGCTTCCCTAGTCTGGGAGCAACAGGTGTCTGTCTGTCCAAGAGCAAAGAAGGAGACGCAGCTCGAGACACTCCGGGCGGCTTGGCTTCCCCCAAAGGAAGCTTCTAGTCAGGCCTACGCTCCCCGTTGGCTTAAACCAGGGTTCTCCAGCGCAAAGGCCGAGGAAAGCTGGCCTTTCGGGGACCCCCGTCCTTCTCCTTTCTCCCTCCAAGTCTTCCTGGGTGGTATTCCCTTCAGATAAGCGCCCAGGGCTACTTCAAGGTATCCAGGGGGTCCTGATGGCTGGGCAGAGAGAAGGCCCAACCAGGTGGAGAAGTGATCTGCTTGAAAGCCAACGAGTTGGGCCAAGGCGAGAAGGGGAAAGGGGAAAGGGGGCCAGGAGGGCTTCTGCCGGGCTGTTTTGCTTCTCGCCCGATTGGCAGCTTTTTACTCTTTCCCTCAACATCCCCGGGACGTCCCTCATGCTTTTATCTCTGGAGCTGAGCCTGGCTCTCAACCCTTGGCTCTCAACCCTTGGCTCTCAACCCTTGGCTCTCAACCCTCGCCCTGCAGCCTCCTCCACTGCCTCCACGAAACTCTCGCGGGCCCTTTCTCTGCTTGGGGCGCCTCGGGCTTGCCTAAGGGACGGACTCTCCCGGGGAGAAGGGGGCGGGGGTCGGCCTATCCCTCCGGGCTCCTTTCCTTTGCCAGGGAGGCTTGGGGCGGCCGACAGGCCCTTCGACTGCGACAACAGGGGCGCTTCACTGGGAAGGAGGAACGGCTTCCTTCGGGGACTCTTGGGCGCCAAGTTGAGGGCTTTGGGGGTGCTTTGAAGGCCCCGTCCTCCCTTTATTTCTCTCCCAGAAAGGTTGGAGGGGAGAGGAATACCAGCCATTCCCTCCCAGTGCGATTTCCCTCTCTTATTGCTTTCCGAGGCCCACCAAATCCGACTTGCTCCTTAGCAGCCGAAGAGGGGAAACCAAGGAGGAGGCAAGGCTACCTGGTCCAACTCGCCTCGCCACTTTGTGTCTGTCTGCCTGTCTATCTGTCTGTCTATGTGTGTGTGTGTGAGTGTGGAGATGGCCAAAAGGAAAAAAAGGAAGCGGAGAGCAGGCACTTTCCTTCCTCAGTGCTAGACAGCTGAGGCGGCTGAGCTCCTTCTTTCCTTCCTTCCTCGCTCGCTCGCTGCCACCCAGTCCCTCGCCCAAAAGCAACGCCTCGGCCGGCTTTTCCCCCGCGATGTGACCTTTTTTGCCCCGATCGGACCCCCCTCCAGTTGAGAAAAGGCCTACTTGGGCAATCAGAGGGCTGGAAGTGGCCTCAAAGGTGGTTGGAAGTGAGCCGGGGGGGGGGGGGGGGGGAGACCGAGAAGGCAGCCTCTCTCCCTCCCTCCCTCCCTCCCTCCCTCCCTCTTCTCCCCCCGCCCCAACCGCGGCTGATTCGTGAGCGTTCCCCTCCCTGTTATTTATGGGGTGATTCCCGAGCATCCCCACCCACTCCCGTTGGCAATCCACCCCGACCTCTCTCTCTCTCTCTCTCCTTCCTTCGCCTCGGCTCCAGGGCAGCACCAGACCCGGACCCGGCGGGGCAGAAAGGGAGGGGAGGGGGCCAGCCTCTCACGCCCCTTCCCGCCGCCCAAGGGGTGCCCACCAAACTTTGAGAAAAGTTTTATTGCATTTTATTCTGTGCATATATATATATATATATTTCACGAAGCAGCCTCAAGTAGCATCCGAAGGGGAGAAAGAAAAGAAGAGCACCAGTCGATTTTGGAGAAAGTTAGGCTAGAAAAAGGACTGTGGGGAAGACGGAGGAAGGGAGGGGGAGACGTTGAATTCAGCCCCCTCCCCAAACACATACACACATACATGTATATCTATGCACACACACACGCACACTGAGAGAAAGGGGATGGAGAGGTCGTGGGGTGACAGAGGGGGAAAGGAAGGCATGGGAATAAGTCCAGGGCTCGGCGGTCGCGCTGCTGCTGCTGCTGCTGCTTCTGGCGCTGCTGCTGCTTCTGCTGCTGCTTCTCCTTCGGCGAAAGCGCCCTCCGCGAATGCTTTTTGGGGTAAGGGCTTCCCGGCTAGGTATTTATATACAGCAAGCCCAGACCGCAAAAAGATTCGCGAAGGACAAAGTCTTCCTACAGCCATCCATCCGCAGCGAGAGGAAATGGTAAAAATACAGGAGATGGAGATCCACGGAGGCTACTCCCTCCCCCCCCCGCCCCCCACACCTCCACCCCAAACCGGGCGCGATCTCAGCCCCGGCAGCCGCCCACCGTCCGTCCATCCATCCATCCTTCCATCCCTTCCTTCCCACTGCAAGACCAAGCCCAAAGAGAGGCCACTCGCGGGAGGCAGGCAGGCAGGCAGGTAGGTGAGGCAGTGGGTGGGGTGTCCCTGCCCGGGCTCCCCCTCCCCACCAAGGGCCCCGGTTTCAGGGGCTCCTCCGCCAGAGCCGGGAAGGCGCTGCCCCCTCCCTCCGTCCGACCCTCCCGCACACCCCTCCACCGATCCGCTCCCAGCCAAGGCTCCGGCGCTGAGCCCCGACGCTGCGTAAAGAGAAAACTCTCCCCCTGAGCGCTAAATAAATAGAGACCAGGCCCGGCGATGATTGGTGCGGGCTAAAATCGTCACTCGCCAATCAGGAGGCGCCTCGCCGGGCTGCCGCTCCAAACCCCCTCCCCTCTCCCCCCTCCCCTCTCCTCCAACACGGGAGGGAGGGGCCAGAAGAGAGAGAGAGCGAGCGAGAGAGAGAGAGAGAGAGAGAGAAACCTTTCCATTTCGAATTATTCAACCAACCCCAGGCTAGAGGCACGTTCCCAAGCAGGGCTCTCTCTGCCTTGGACCGGACTCCTGACTCTTGTCCCGGGGCAAGACATGGAAAGGGGGTCGGAAGCGGGGTAAATAGGCAGGCACCGAGTTGGGTGAGAGTAGCAAGTGGGGAAACTCCGGCTCCCAAAGCGAACCACACGCAAAGCAGACACGCAACAGAAGGGCAGGCAAAGAAAGGGCCGTGTGGGGCGCAGGGAAAGAAAGGGCGCCAAGTCCAAAGTGGAGTTTGCCCTGGATTCCCGCTCCTCTCCCCACGGAGAGACATCCCCACTCGGGGCAGCCAGGCTGTGGCCGAGCCTGATCCCTTGGAAGGGTGGGTGGGTGGGTGGGTAGGTGGGTGAGTAGCTGGGTGGTCCCTCAGAGAGACCCCAGGAGGGGATAGAGACCTTGGGTAGGTGGGTGGGTGAATGAGTAGCTGGGTGGCCCCTCAGAAAGACCCCAGGTGGGGATAGAGACCTTCGGTGAGTGAGTAGCTGGATGGCCCCTCAGAGAGACCCCAGGCGGGGAAAGAGACCTTGGGTGGGGCGGGGTGGGTGGGTGGGTGAGCGAGTAGTTGAATGGTCCCTCAGAGGGACCCCAGCCGGGGAAAGAGACCTTGGGCGGGTGACTGAGCGAGTAGCTGGGTGGCCCCTCAGAGAGACCCCAGGCGGGGAGAGAGGCGCACCGTCCGCTCCTTGTGCCTTTCCTCCCTGCCTGGCAAACCAATCTCAAGATCTCCAAAGACGGAGGGGTGCTGATACCCCCCCCGCCCCTCCGCGCTCAAAGTTGCGCTGAACTAACTCTGCTGGGGGACGGGAGCGAGGAAGGAAAACCCTCGCCGCTTTGGGACTGGGGCTGCGGGGCAAAAGTTCAAGAGGCAGCAAGAAGAAGAGGAGAAGCAGCAGCACCTGCCTCCAAAGCAGACCAAGCTGGGAAGTTCTCCTCTCCCTCCTTTCCCCTATTTGCCCCTGCGTCCCCTCCGCATCACAACCTCCTCCAAGCCCCATCTCCTTACCTTCCCGGTGGCGTCCTCCTTTCGGCTCTGGCAGAAGCAGCAGGAGCAGGAGCAGCCGCCTCCTGGCCGAGCAGCACGCGCCTTCTGAGCTCCGCCGGCTTCCTCGCTGCCTTCAAGTACTGCTCTGGCGGCGGAGGCTGCTGCTGCTGCTGCTGCTGCTGCGGATTCGCTCCCAACTTGCTCTGCTTTGGAGGACCTTCGGGGAAGCGGCCTGGGGGGCGAGAGGAGGACGCCACAAAGTTGGGAGCCCCCTCCTTCCTTCGCTCCTTCCCTCCCCCCCTCCCTCCTCTCCCCTCCCTCCCCTCCTCTTCCTCGCTTCACTTACCTCCTTGGCGCCTGGAGCAGGACGGGGTCTTTTCCTTCCTCGGAGGCGCAGGCAAGCCTTCTCCTCCAGCCCTCCTCCTGCCCGCCTGCCTGTCTGCCTGCCTCTCCGTGTGTGTTATGGGGTGTGTGTGTGTGTTTTCTCTATGGGGAGGGGGGAGTTGGAAAGAAATTCGTGGCGGCAACGCAGCCCTCCATCCTCCAGGTATGTATAAACTCCTGTAGTGTGTGGGAGGGTCACGATCTCACTAAGTGCCGAAGATTTCCCCGGGATTTAACTCCTTCCTGTCCGCCTCCCTGCTTCTGCAACTTGTTGCGGGCGGGTGCGTGTGTATGTGTGTGTGGGTCTATTTTTATCCCTCTCTCCATGGGTCTGCTGCACTCACTCTCTCTCTCATACACACTGAGCACATACATGCGGATGGGGAAGCAAAAAGAAAAGGAAGGAAGGAAGGAAGGAAGGAAGGAAGGAAGGAAGGAAGGAAAGAAAGAAAGAAAGAAAGAAAGAAAGAAAGAAAGAAAGAAAGAAAGAAAGAAAGAAAGAAAGAAAGAAAGAAAGAAAGAAAGAGAAGCCAGCAAGCTTGGAGGAGTCGTCCGGCTGCCCCCCCCCCCGTCCCGTTGGCGCCGTTTGGATTGGATGGTCTTTTTCACGGCGAAAAGGGACGTCTCGAGTCGAAGTCACGATTCCTCCTCAGTTTGGACCCATCTGTGACTGGAGCCATGACGCAGCCAGCACACATTACTCACTTTTACAGTCACGACTTGGAAATCCGTGCCGTTTGCAACCGAAATTACACCGCCACCATTGAATTATTTAATAGGATCCAGTGGAGGGGAATCTTGTGCCTTGTGCAGAAGGCGATGGGGCAGGAGGGAGGGGAGATGAAGACCCCGTGCCTGTGGGAGCTTTGCTTGTCCTCAGGTTAACTCCGCGGGGTGGGAGCAGAGCTGGGAAAGGAAGGGCTTCTCTAGCTCTTGCAGGGACATCCTTAGTCGGGGACTCAGCCTGGGACTCCAAGCACTCGCAGCCACTTGGAGCAAACCCTATGTGTCCACTCTGCTTCTGATCGTGTCCCTCTCTCCCTCTCCTTTCCCCCTCTCTCGGGGGTCTGGAGGAATCGTGGGGTGCAGCCTTGGAAAGGGTGGAGGGACCTTCTTGGACTCGCTTAGACATGCTGCTGAACTTTCGCCGTGACCTGCCTTCAACGCCCTTTCACTTCGTGCGGAGGGAAAGCTGCAACTTCCCAAAGTGCTTCTCTTCCCCCTCCTCCTTGCATTGGGAGGGCCTCCCTGCCTCCCCCGCTTCCCTCCCCCTCCCCTGCTGTGGCAGAGTGACAAATGGATTCGTGGAAGCGCCGGGTCTCCCTCTCCGGGACCTCTGATGACAGCCTTTGGGCCAGTTGGGATGCCTCTGACCCGGCGTGGCCCCTGGCTGAGGAGGGCAGGCAGCTTTGGCAGCAGAGATTCCCGGGCGGGGATTTTGGGGAAGGACGAAGGTCTGTTTTCTACCATCTTAGAGGTGGAAGGGATCCCAAGGGCCATCCAGTCCATCCCCTCCCAGGCAGGAACACCCAATGAAAACATCCCCAACAGATAGCCATCCAGCCTTTGCTTGAAAAACTCCAGAGGAGATTCAATTATCCTCCGAGGCAGCTCTTACCGTCAGGAAGTTTTTTCCCTACCTGTGTGGGGGGAAATGTAGCCCCTAGGCGCCTGATATCCCCTTCTCATCGCAGACCCACCCAGGAGAGCAAGGGGGGTATTTCAAGGAGGGGGGGAACCAAGTTGCCAGGAGGAGGGAGAAGGAGAAGTAGGCCGAACCAAACAACCTATGGAAACACCCCATCCTCAGGTGTGGGCGCTTTCAAACGCATAGGCGGGAAAAGGGGGGAAGAAGAAGAGGAGAAGGAGGAGGCGAGGTGGGTGGGGGCAGAGGGCATGCGAGTCCAACCAGCGCGGCGCTTTGACGCAACCCAGCAGGGAAAACCTGGCTCCCGAAGGGAAGGTCCCGGCCGCTTGAAAGGAGCCAGGAGAGAAGCAGGAGGGCCGGCTGCTTTCTCCTTGACCCCCCTCCAACCCACTGGCCCACTTCCCCCGCCTCCCACCGGTGCCCGTGTCGGGGAAAGGGGACCCGGCGAGCAGCAAGGCGACTAGAGGTCGAGCGCCAGCTGTTTCAGCACCTTGGGCTGCGGACAGCTCCCCAGCTCCTCGCGGCCTTGCCTTCCCTCCTGGGCAGAGCGCAAGTCCTATTGTCAGCATATTCCTCAATCTCTTTATGCAACCCACAGGATAGAAAGAAAGGGGGGGGGGACACCCTCTATTTCCCTGTTTCTCGTGATACAAGAGCCTTGCCATTAGATTGCGTCTAGCCATCCTTCTGAAAATGGGAAGTGGGGAGGGAGGAGGAGGAGAGAGAGAGGCTCTCTAGCGCCGACAGAGAGGGAGAGCGGGCGTTGCAGGCTGCTCTATTGATTCAGAGATTTACCGACAGGGTGATTCCCCTTTTCTGCAAGAATTCCCTGCGTCTGGGCTCCGTGCATGCACCAAATTCGTTAAGCAGACGAGGACGTCCCCCCTCCTTCCCTCCCTCCCTCCACCCCCTCCGAGATATAAAAATAGAAAGAGAGACAAAATAAACCCAGGCATGCATAAAATCAAGGCGAAAATTCCCCGCCACTCTCTCTCTCTCCCTCTCTTGCCGCATGCACACAAGAAATATTACGAGTACTTACCCAAACCGGGAACTCCTTTGGTGAGGATGGGAGGGGAAGAGACCTGCGGGGGGGGGGGAGATTGGGAGTGATGTGGGTGGAGAAGAGGGGGTTTCCGGGGGGGGAGAGGAGAAGAGAACATACAGACAGAGAGAAGGGGGAAAATCCAACAATTAATTTCCAGACAGTAGTTGGGAAAAGAGACTGCGGTGATGTCCAGGTTTTCTTCCACCCGCGCTGGCGTTTATATACAAGTACAACTCTCTGTCTATTTCTGGAACGCGATCAAAACCCTGGTGCTATTTTTAGCAAGTGCTAGGGAGAGAGAGAAAGGGGGGGGGGAATCCACACAAAGGCATTTCGCTGGAACGTTGCGTCCAAAATATGGAATGGACCTGAAGCCTCCCACCCGGAGCCCCCCAGCTCCTTTCTCCATCATTTAGAATTATTTGAGGTGCAATGTTGCAGGTAATTTCGAAGGGTGATATTGATCGCTTTCCATATTGCCCTATTGCTCAACCTTGCCCTCCCCCCTGCCCACGAAGTGTGACTCTGCCTGCCTGTTGCCTTGCAAGCACCCTTGCTCCTTTCCTCATGCAATGTCTTTATAAAGTAGGTTTTGAAATATCCAACAATAACACAAACACACACACAGCCAGGCGCTACGGACCCAGCCCACACAAAGGTGGCTTTCAAGGCAGGTGGCTTGGAAGGAGAGAGAGAGAGAGCCTTGCACAGAATGACTTACACTCAGCACAAGGAAAGGTTGTTTTTAACAGTCTTGTTTTCTCCCTCCCTCCTGCTTTTCTGTTTTTTTTAAAAACAACAACAACAACAACACCCTCCTTTGTCTGGAGAATAAAGAATCTATAAATACCCACATCCACACAGAGGCAAGGAGGCAGGCACACGCACCCACACTTTGAGAAACGTGCCTGTGTGTGTGCCCGATTGCGTTCTAGTAATTCACTACGAAGGGAAGATGGGGAAAAAATAGAACCATTAAGGCTTGCAGGCTGCAAGAAGCCAGCCTGAGACTCCTTTGCGAGGCTGCGTCAGTTATCAGCTATTGACGTCACGTTCAGAGTCTCCTCTTCCCAGGCTCCAGTTCATCATAAAAGATGTCTGTGCTTAGAGCTTTGTGCTTGCAGAGAAGCACTTCAAATCCGGGGGAGGGGGTTGCTTAGCAAGACCCACATCTTTTGGGGGTTGGGCTGCATTCTCTTGTGTCCATACATAACACACACACACATATGAAAACAGACAAACACAGTGCAAAGTGGGGGCATGGAAGGGAGGGGAGACAAAGGTGTTGAAAGGGCATGCAAGGATCTGGGTGTGTTTTAAAATACACAGGCACATCTTAGAAATGAGTTGCAAAGCAGAATGTGCAGGGAAGCCTTGTGCAGGGAGTAGGACAGCTCCCAAACTCCCCCACCTTTCTGTATTTTGATATAGCAGAGAAATGGAGAGGGACAGGGAGAGAAACCCTGAGATGTTGCATATTTGTCAAGCAAACAAGAGGGGAGTGTTGGTCGCATTTTAACAGCCCCTCCCTTCTACTAGCTCACCCACACACTGAGAAATCTGGTGAAAAATAATGTTTCCCTATCCTTGCAGAGGCTCAGCTACAACACACCCGGCTCACACTTTTATTGGGCTACAGTAGCAAAAGCCATATATTGATAAAACTAGGATTAATTCTGTATATTTGTCAGGCAAACAGCCCTGTCTCCTAGAGTGACGCAAATAACAGATTCTATGGCTCTGGCTTTCTATATTCTGCACCCACGCACTCTGCTTGGTCTCCCACGGAATCAGCTACAGAGAGCAATGATCCAGATTAGAGGGGAGGGGGAGGAGGGGGAGAGGCAAAAGAACAAATGAAATTGCAATTAAAAATTATAATACTGCTATAGGTCTCTACGCACAAGACTCAATATGATGTTATAGTGGAACACACACATTCACACGTAAACACACATAAACAGAGGGTACTAATGTCTCTCTACTCAACACTATTCAACCCAAAGGAAATGGTCTTATTGACAAAGGTAGAGTTTTATTTGGCAAAGAGATGTATACATGTACTCCCTCCCCTCTTCTCCATTAAAAAAATGTGTCTACAAAGATCCAGATTACAAATACAGGCAGGAAAAATAAACATTGAGGTTGAAAGATAGGTGTGGGTGGAGAGGGAACACCACTGTATATCCTCAAGTGGATTAATCAGGACCTTTTGAAGCAGAATGGACATTTTTGTCTTTTCTCCTACTACTTTTGGAAGAAAAAAAAACATCTTCAAAGCAGAGCTCAATGGGTTGCTGCTATTTTTAAAGATCTCGTGTTTGGGGAAGTTTGGCACAAGGCATCTGGGTAAAAATGGAAAAAAAGTATGTGGGCGATAGTGTTGAGAAAACATATACACAGGCACGTACGCATCCAAGAGAACGTGGATCAGAGTGGAATCGACGGATTTGAAAAAGGTACACGGTGAACCATGGAGTCAAATGATGATTTCTTTCTAACTAGCCCACACTACACTTTGTCTGAATGAATGGAAAGAGACTAAATGCAAAGATAACCAGGCATAGTAAGCCCTTCACTGTCTAAACTACACACACACACACACACACAGGAACATGAACAGACTCTTTTCTAATATCTATGGACTGTGACTGATGAAGCAACAAGAGTCATCAGCCTTGCTAATTACTGCCACTGAGACAGTAACGTTAGGAGTAGCTTATAGGTTTAGGTAAAAAGACTATATCTGAAATACTGGTAACAGAAAAGAGACTGGTTTAGCTTGAAAAGCATCACCTAGCTGCAGACTTTGATTTTAGGCAATTGAGATCAAATGCAGTGACATAGCATGTTCCCACGTACTTCAACCAGGGCCTTTCCTTTTTATTTATGAGTCAGCTCTCGTTTAGAAGGCACACAAGGTGACATACAAGAATCAGATCAATACAGAATCCCCATAAAGCATAAAAAACCATGCATCTAAAACAAGTCAACAAATGCAGCAGGATGCAAACCTTTTTGCCAGCATATTCCAGACGCCCGATTTGCCTTTATCCTTTTGAAAAAGCCAACAAGCTGTACAATCATGTTGTGCATGCACAGAAACAGATATATAGACATGATGTAATATTACGACTTAGAAAGTTGGTTAAACAGCTTTGGTCTCACCGGTGCTCAGGAGAAGCTTAGAAAGGGTCATCTGGACAGATATTAATTACTAAATCACTGGATTAAAGAGCATATTAGGGTTAGAATTATCATAACATGTATACATATATTCCTGAAGCAAGGCCTCCTTTCTTTAATGTAACAGGTTCATCAAGATTAACAGAGTAAACCTTTCATCCTACCATTTTATGGCATGAGCTAGCCATTATCAGTGTCTAGGAAGATGGTTTCATAACTTTATTTTATTTCAGGACCCCAAATCAAAGTAAAACATAGAAGGAGAAATGGTGTTGTCTGGATGGCAAGCCTCAATATTAAGCTATTTATTAGATTCTTCCAGATTTGACAATTCAGTTGCAATTTAGTCCCATCTATTAGTATCAGTCCTCTTGGAGACCTGTCATTGTTATTTAGTTATCTAACAGTAACTTTTTTCTATATTCCAGGTTCTAGACAACTTCTGAAAAATAGACGGTGCTCAACATTCTACTAACAGAAAATATTTTGAATTTTTAAAATGAGTGCTTTTGATGATATCCTTGTCTCAGTCCTGTTTCGACCATGTTATCTCCTTTATACATCACGCTTGAAAAGACAGAGCCAGAAAACCCACTTCTTTCAAGAGTATTGAATCTTTAGAACAGGGGTCCTCAAACTAAGGCCCAGGGGCTGAATACGGCTCTCCAAGGTCATTTACCCGGCCCTCGCTCAGGGTCAACCTAAGTCTGAAACGACTTGAAAGCACACAACAACAACAACAACAACAACAACAACAACAACAACACTATCTCATCAGCCAAAAGCAGGCCCACACTTCCCATTGAAATACTAATAAGTTTATTTTTGTTAAAATTGTTCTTCATTTTAAATATTGTATTTTTAAGTGTTTTTGCACTACAAATAAGATATGTGCAGTGTGCACAGGAATTCATTCATTTTTTTGAAATTATAATATGGACCTCCAACAGTTTGGCCCTCTGTTTAAAAAGAGGGCCAAACTGTTTAAAAAGTTTGTGGACCCCTGCTTTAGAAAGCCACTCATTGCTATTCGTGCTTCTCTTGATCAATATATGTCCTTTAAAAGGCTTTATCTTTCAACTTGATATGGTATGCTTATCGACAATCTTTTGCTTTCCAAATATCTAAGACAAGGCAATAAGAGGGAATGATCAAATCTATGGATCACCCACTCATTTCTCCATTTTGAGGAGTATTATAATTTCAGATGGAACAACTATGGCTTCCACCAGATAATGGAATATTACACCATGAGAGCTATCCAAGGTGCTGAAAAACAGCTGTTTTCCCCTAATGGAGCTATTTTACAAACCAAAACATTGTGATATACTAGCACCTTGTATGAATCTAAAGAAGGTAGAATTTCAATTAATTTTACATGGTTATCATCAATTTTTAACAAATTCCTTCAACTTACAAACACATATAATTATTCTCATAAATACTTCAATTTCTTATATAAACTGCTCTAAAATAATAAGATATTTCCAAACAGGAAAAAGAGAAGTCTGTTTCAGTTAAAATTTGGAATAACAAATGCTAATCTTACACATTTAATTCCTTGTTGATTTTCACGTGTAGTTATTGCATGATTTATGGGTTCATACAGTCGGCAGTGATGCTGCCAAATGTTGGAGTTATATCGGTGAAGTATACGTATATTACTTATTAAATAAGTCTCAGAGAATATTTTCCATCCTAACATTTTGAAATTTATTCTACACATGACAGGGTCCAGTGCTGACATATGTTTATTAGAAACATTTCCATATTATTGAAGGCTTTCATGACCAGAATCAGTGGGTTGTTATGAGTTTTATGGGCTGTATGGCCATTTTCCAGGAGCATTCTTTCCTGAGGTTTTGCCCACATCTATGACAGGCATCCTCAAAGGTTGTGAAGATGCCTGTCATAGATGTGGGTGAAACATCAGGAGAGAATGCTTCTGGAACATGGTCATACAGCCTGGAAAACTCGCAGCAACCCAATTTCTATATTACTTGTCATGTAAAATTATGGTAGGGTGCTTTAGTAATCTGGACTAGGCCATTACTTTGCTATTTGTAAATACAGAGAAATAGGTTTGATATAATTCAATGTACAGTTTATGAACATGTATGGGTCACTTTACTTTTCCTTACCTTAAACTCACATCCAGCAACTTCAGTAGATAAGTGAGCTTAACTATCAAATGAATAGCTATGTAACCCTGTTATTGCAAAGGCAGAAAGATATCCCACAGTTCACCAAAGAATAACACATTTATTACATCGTGAACTTTGTGTTTACATTCATACTATAATAACTGTTCTAGTTTTCAAGATGCCATGAGATTTTTTTATTGTTTTTGATTCTGAACGTATTCATTAAAAATGAGTCACTAAAATAGAGACTAAAATAAATGCATCATAAACACATTAACACCCATTGCTTCAAATGTTGATTTGATAGTATGTACATTTTTGCTTGAAATAGAGAAATCTACATGCCAGAAGTTCAAAACCAGCACAGTCCTCACTAATAGACATAGCAAATGTTAACTGAATTTGTAGACCAACAGACAAATCAGATTTATTTATTTCTTGTGTCAGGGCCTTATTCTTTATTCTAGAAAGGTCTGTGCTGCAGATAGAATAAGCACTGAGTTGCTTCAGCCCATTTTATAATAATAGAGTTGCCACTTGTTCTTTAGATATATGTTTGTTGTGCTTAACCTTTTTTAAAAAAAGAATTAAAAGTAAATTCAGACGTCAATATCATCATTACATATGTGCCAAAGTGACAATGTTATTTATTTATTTATTTATTTATTTCAGGTATTTCTACCCCATCACTTCTCTACTCTCAAA